AAGTCGGATAGCGAGCAGGTTCTTCCGTGACGACTTGCACCAGTCTATGGTACCAAGGGTCCATGATAGCAACACCATCACCTATGGCAGCTATCGTTAAGGCCGGAACAGACCGAGAAAGGGTATCGGGGACTAAATGATTTTTTCCAGGTCGGTGCTGAATTTCGAAATCATATTGTTGCAGTCTCACTGCCCAACGCGCAATTCTGCCTACCGGATCCTTAATGGAATTCAGCCACTTCAAGCTATAATGATCCGTGATCACAACAAAACGCGTGCCTTCCAAGTGAGGTCTCAATTTTTCGACTGCAAAGATAACGGCCAGACACTCTTTCTCAGTCGTGCTGAACTTCCTTTCACTTGGAGTTAGGGATCGACTTAGGTAGCAGACGACCTTTTCTCCATCTGGATGCATCTGCGAAAGCACGGCTCCTAAAGAATAGTCCGATGCATCCGTTTGGACCTGGAAGGGTAGACTGTAGTCGGGACACGACAGTACTGGTGCCGACACAAGACGTTCCTTTATGCGACGTAATGCTTCTTCACAACCCTCGTTCCAAATATATTGCTGTCCTTTCTTGGTTAAGTCACCAAGGGGAGATATCATCGTCGAAAACCCAGGTATAAATCGACGGTACCATGAGGCGAGTCCGATAATTCGGCGCACCTCTGTAACATTCCGGGGCGTCGGGATTTGCAGTATGGCATTAACTTTCTCGGGGTCAACTAAAAGACCTGAAGAATTCACTAGATATCCGAGAAAGCGCAATTCGGATTTGCAAAAGTTGCACTTCTTCAAGTTAAGGGTCAATCCAGCTTTCGTGAGCCGGGACAATACTTCCTCTAAAATGTCTAGATGTTTCTGGAAGGTGGGAGTACATATTATTATATCATCCAAATAGATGAAAACGAATTGTTCCAGTTCCGCTCCAACGACTCTATCAACAAAGCGTTGAAAAGTAGCCGGGGCATTATGGAGGCCCATTGGCATACGCCGGAACTGGAAAAGTCCACAATTGGGGATAACGAAAGCCGTAAGTGGTTTAGATGCTTCTGCGAGAGGTATTTGCCAATAGGCGGACTTTATGTCTAAAGTTGTTAGAAACCGAGCTTCCCGCAGTTTATCTAAAGTCGCTGACACAAAGGGGAGGGGATATGCATCCTTCGTCGTGACCTTGTTGAGATTTTTAAAATCCACACAGAAGCGATATCGACCATCCGGCTTCTTCACTAACAGAATTGGAGATGCCCACGGAGAATTAGAAGGTTCCACCACCCCATCTCGAAGCATTTGGTCGAGCTCTTCGTTAACATGTCGTTGCAATACTGGCGAAAGTGGATAATGTCTCTGTTTGATTGGTTCGGAATCTGTGGTGATGGTGTGTTCCACCAGAGTAGTGCAGCCCAAGTTTCCTCCCATCAAACGAAAATATTTATCAACCACACTTTGCAGGGTTTCACGCTGAGATCCTGACAATGAGTCTATGGAGTGGATAGTACAAGCGTTGGGGTCAGGAGAGAAATCCGAATCGTCCCTGAAATGCCACTCATCCGAAAATAGATCGGGGACGATAGCCATCTTCAGCCAAAAGTCCATCCCAAGGATAAGGCAATGAGGTAGAGTTGGCACTACTAAAACCTCAATGATTTTGACACGATCGCATAACCGAACCGGTAGATTCACGGTTCCCAATACCTCACACGTCTGACCATTAGCAACGGTGCACCTAGACACTGACGACGTCGAAGATTCCAACTGACAAACATGTTTCAGTACATTCCACCCCTGCTGACCTAGTACAGTTCTACTGGCTCCACTATCCAAGAGGCCTAAGAACTCTCGGCCGAAAATCGTAACCCTCAAATACGGACGAACATCATTCTTCGCATGAGCAACGACAAAATCCAATAGTATTTTATTTTCTGGAGAAACATGTTGGGAATCTGCCGAAATCTTGGATTTAGAGACGACTAGTCGGCTACCTAGTGTCTCGTTGATGCGTTTTTTGGTCGGCAATTAGGACAGGAAGAGGCCGTAACCTTATCTTGACCACAACGGCAACAGAATATGTTTCGGGGTTTATCACACCTTCGGAACCGATGACCAATCCCCTTGCAGTTCCAACAAATTGCTGGGTTACCGCCTGGGGGGGCTACAGACATAGGACCAGGACGAATCTCATCGACCGTAGAAGTCGACGCCGGTTGAGAGCCCACCTCTCTCACGGTCTGTGCAATCGCCGAAACTTGGCTAGACGTAGGGCGTCTATAAGCTAGTTCTGGCTCAATAAGTTGTCGATGATTAGTAGGAGGAGGGACAAAACGTTGAATTTGAATTTCGGTTTCCTCTATTCTCCTACCAACCGAAACCAACTCGGCTACCGATTTTACTGGATGTAGCGCCATCTGCGACTGGATGTATGGTAAAAAATTCCGTTTAATAATAGACACCCGATTTTCTTCCGAAGGCCGACTGCTTCCCAGTTTCTGGAACAGACTTTCCATCGCTGCCACATAACACACAACCTTTTCTCGAGCTCCTTGGGTCCGCTTCCTGATTTCTTCCCAGAGACTATTCTCGTAGTCATATGGAAGAAACGCTTCCTTGAGCTGAACTACCAAATCATCCCATGACCTGAAGAAGTTAGTTCTATACCAGGTGAGGGCATCTTTCGTAAATAATTCCGGGGCCGATCGGAGCAATTGCGGTTTAGATACACCCCTGGATACTCGAAGTTCCTCTACCCTTTCTAAAAAGTGTGTCACACTGGATTCACCATCGAAACGGAGGTTCCATCTGGCCACATCCACATACCTAAAGCCTTGCTCTAAAAAGGGCTCTGACCGAAACTGCGAAGGGAAGGACGATCGTTCGAACTGGGGATTCAAAGTTAGAGCGGGATTCACAGGATCCAGTCGAGATGACTCTAAAACCGAAGGATTACACCAGCCTCCTCCGGGAATACATGATGTGCCTGCATCGTGTCTCATGGGTTCTCTAGATAGTTCTCTATGTAGCTCCCTAGGTAGTTCTCTAGGTCGAACACCACTTGAAAAATCGATCAAATCAGCATTATCCTGGAACCTCACTGTATTATTACGGGGAAGTCTTTCATCGAGAAAGGCTCTCACTGAAGGTGAGCAACCCTGAGAAGGTACCGACCCGCTGGGGTTGATGGAGCGCGATGACCGTGCAGATTGAGAAACGTCTTGTCGAGACATGTCATGTCTGACCTCGGCTCTTTGAGCTTCGAAACCTGAAGGGGGTTGACTTGATGGGTTCCCTGACAATTCAGGTAAAAGTGGATTGTCCTCATCCATAATGGTTCCTTCCTGGTTATTATCTGCGTCCAGAATCGAAACCCTATCGACCGCTTGCCCTTGGTTATTGACCGTTGTCAACACCTCAAGGTTGTCCCGTAGTTGGGAAAGTTCCTCTATTAACTGCATCGACTTCGCCAGGAGAGCTTGTCTGATGTCGTCCATCGGTTGATCAACCTTCGAGATTCTCCGTACTCTCCCCTGAATATGAAACAATCGCGAGAATATTCTTTTAAATTCATTTACCCGGTTTGACTCATCAAAATTCCTGATACCTTGTTCCAACTCTTGAAGTTTCTGACAACGAATCTGCTGCTCGACCTCAGGGTCAACTAATGCTTGAGATGGTTCCGGCGCAACACCAGCTTTCTCGCATCTCAATGCTCCGCGCAGAATTACCCGTTTTTCATTGACCGTTCCTTCAACTGGTAGTCCTCGAATTGCAAGTTCATAGGATATCTCATCCCCTAGTAATCTGTTCACCTCCATGTCTATACAATTCCAATTCTAAATATGATTCTTTTGTTTCACCAAGGTTTTATGGAATCGACCAGAATTAACTAAACGCCTGCAACGCACCCTTCTCCTTCCTCAACGAAAAAATGCAATGCGCAAATCACCTAGACCTTCCTTTCCTTGACCCAGTCCGCGAGAAAAAAAACACCTACTCCTACACCTCTATACCTATACCCTAGATCTAAATACACTCTGTTTAGATCAATGCCTATACCCAGATAAATATAAAAAAAAATCTAAGTACTAATGTTATAATTCCCTGATTGAGAATTCAGAAAGAATCTTCTCCTGCATTAATAGCACACACCTAAATGGAGTAATACTGTATTTTGTTAGAAATGCACATATATATCAATCTGAATTCGAGATCCAATTGAAAGCAAAAAGAAAAAGTTTCTGCAAAAATATTCACAATTATAATCACCCAACTACTTCCAGGAGCATCCCTTTACCAGCTGTAATTATCCTTTTCACTTACTGCGTGATTCAAATTACTCCATTCCAAACATGAGAATGATATAGTCCACCTACCCACAGACTACTTTTGCCACTGCAATTACTGCTTATCTATATCGATAATTAAGTCATCACTTTATTGTTCTATACTCTGTATAAATCGCCAAGCTTATACTCAACCCACAGTTGTTTTTTTTTTTGTTTTCTTTTTTTTTTGGTGAGAAAAAGTGAATTACCCTATTTTATATTAGCAATTCAAATCATTAATTCCATCCAGTGTAGTATAATGAGTATTTCTGATGGTCCATCCCTTTATATAGCAAGGTACGTACCTAAATGCTTAAGGCCTATACTATTATAGTAAGGTACCCAAATACTTAAGGCCCATACTATTATAAAATAAGAAGAAGCAGAAGAAAGATGACAGCTGTGATAAAACTGAGGTTATGTAGTTATGTTGTGATATTTTATTATTATATTATTGATTATTGTGCAAATTACGAGATCAACTAAAATTGAAATGTTGAATATGAAAATACCCGAAATGAAACAACTCTCACTACCCTTATAGTGGGGCGCCAATTTCTTACATATTTCTAGTTTCAATGCTCACAGTATACACCTTTCAAATAAAACTCAGGTAGTGGGTGCATAAGAGAAACAATAACTTTATTGTTAACTAGTGAGGGAGTTGTTTCAGTTTGCGGATGGATGGAGTAAGTGGTGCCCCAAGAGGAGTACCACTCAAGGAGAATTACTAATCACTTGCATATGTACTTTGCTCACAAATCTTAGAAGGTTTAGCTGCCAACTTACCTTGAGGTATCGATACCAGAAGTGAACAAATGGCAAGCTATAGAATATCTATACTAAATTTAGGTAAGATAGAGGAAGCAAGTATGCAATGTTCAGAATAAGAGGAACTACAAAATAGAAAGCGATACAGCTCACTTGGTCTAATCTCCACTCTGCAGAGATGGCTGTTGACAGAACTCTCTAGAGGTAGGGGTCCCAGGTCTCCAACTTGGGTGATCCACCTCTCAGTAACTTACTAGGTTGCGGGTGAGTCTCAAGCAGCATAAGGCATATAGCAAGCAGTAAAAGCACTACACAGGCAAGCCAAGCATACCAGCCAGCAGCAAAAGTAGTGTGCCAGTAAATAGTCTGAAGCGAAGGCAACAGTGGTTGCAAGTGGTGAAAAGCAACTAATAAGGTACTACAAGTACAAATAAAAAAGGCCCTGCAAATTATGATAATACCTTGTAGAAAATTGTAGGATTTACAGAAATATGGAGAGATTGGCAGGAATATGGTTTGATATATAAGACATACCTTGATATCTGGTGGCCTGAGGTAGCAACTACGGTGAGTTGGAAAATATGATATACATATAATCAAATTTTACCAGAAATAATATCCATCTATATGTAGTAGCCAGTGGACCATCCTTTGACTACTATAATTTCGGTTAATTTTGATTATTGAAATGAAAATCCGCTAAAATGCGAGGACACGTTTTCTATACCTTCCTAGGTTACAAAAAAGTCCCTTCTCCCTTCTCTCTCATATTCTCGCGGTATTTTTGGCGAAATACCAAGGTTATCTTATTTTTAGGTTATTCTTTAAGAGTACCTACATAGAGAAGAATACAGAAGAAGACTATATGTCAAGCCAATAGTTCTGTAACCTCAATCCTGAATTCAATGTTATTGTCCTCTTGTTCAAGTTCCTACAAGGTGATTATTTATTCACTTTATGAATTCCTAACTAATCTAGTTTATTTTACAGCTGGTAACGACCCATATCAAGTGGAGTTGGAAACTCAAGGGAATCTGTTATTGGCTGGGTAAGTAATTGTGTAATCATATTATAAAATACCATTATTAATCCATAACTCATTTTTTTTTTTAGGTATCAGGAGAATCAATCGTTTAGCAGTCCTGCAACTTGTACATGAAAACCAAGCATACTTCATGGAATGATTGTTGACCGACTTGCTGAATAAATGAATTTTCATCGACTATCCCATTAAGAGTCCCTTTCAAGGAATACTTATGATTCAAACAATTGAAACCGTAACAACTACCGTTAAGAAGAAGTGTAAACGGGGTAGAGGATTCATTCAAACACAGCTCACCGGTCAGGTGGGACGTCATAGATTATCTGCGAGCGATATAAATTTTTTGGAATTTATTGGTCTGACAGTACGACAAAGACGACGACGAACGAGTAGAAATTAGTGAACAATGGTTGTCACAAGTTCTACTAGCTTACAATTGGAGGTGTTTGATGAACCAATTTCGATCATTCACTAATTAGCCTACATGAGCATACATACAAACCATATGGTTCACCATCATTCAAGAATTCTGATGAAATCAGGATAGCTGTCAACTTTCAAGATTTGATACTCGATATTTCTGATAGCTACATTTATATTGAGGGGGAATTCACACCAGATGATGCAACGAAATCCTGCTATCTATCTGACAATACCTCAGCCTTCCTCTTCGATGAAATTCGTTATGAAATGGGTGGCGAACAAGTATGTATGATTCGAAAACCAGGCATTACTACCACAATGAAGAGCATGATCTCTTATGGCGATTCTAACGCTAAATTTCTTGAAACAGTCGGATGGGGAATTGACAGTGAAAATCAGCCAATTTTAGACAAATCTAGCCACATAGTCAGTGGAAAACTACCACTAAAATGTTCAATGGGGTTCGCTGAGGATTATAATAAAGGTATATTGAATGTGAAACAGAAGCTGATACTCATCATATCTCGATCATTCAAAAACTGCTATATAGGAGAAGTTGATGCCAGTGTGGAGATTAACAAAATCGAATGGAAGATAGGACATATTATGCCATCGGATAAGCAGAGGTTGAAATTACTGAACAGTCTCAATAAAAGTTCTACAGCAAAAAAGAAAATTGCATACAGGATGTGGGATCTGTATGAATTACCGTCAATTCGTGAAACATCTTCAGACATTTGGGCTGTTAAAACCACCAATAGTCTCGAGCGACCAAGGTACATTATCATAGGCTTCCAAAATTCTGATAACACAGATAATAGATCCAAGGATACCACCTAATTCATTCATGCGGGAGTCAACAATATTCGACTGTATTCGAATTCGGAAGTTTACCCTTATGAACGGTAGAATTTGGATTTTGGAAAAAAGTTAGATGCTGTAGCCTATTATGCATACGATAATTACCAACGAAGCTATTATGGTAATGACATGAGCGAACCAATGATGAATATTGGGGAGTTCAGAAAAAATCCGTTATTCATCATAGACTGCAGCCATCAACCGGACACATTGAAATCTTCAACTGTCGATATCAAGTTGGAGTTTGAGACACGCCCATCGGAATTTCCATCCAATACCAAGGTATATGCGCTCATTCTTGACGATGCATTTTCGACATATAGCGCACTAGATGGTTCCATACAGTTAGGTGCTCCTTGAATACACTCTATAGATCTGGATCAAATTCTAGCCTCCGTCCACCTCCACCACCACCGTCACAGCCGACCATCAGCATTCGAAGCCTATAATTGTATTAGGTCAGTTTTTCATTATTAATATTATGTTCATTATTATTTATTATCATCATGATTATGATTATTATTATTATCGACACATGTATCTGCACTAAATTGAATAAAAGTAAACAAATGTTTTACAAATCATCGTTTTTTATTTCTTGATTGATAGACAATGAAAAAATGCGAGCTCATCATCATTCCATAATTTATATATATACATGCAAATGATGATAGTATGATTGAAGCATCTCTTAGCAATATCATGATTTCGATTCTTCTTATTCTTCCTCCTCGTTGTCGGATGATTCTGGAATTACCCCCAAGTTGTACTTCCGTATCAGGCTGTTTGGTAGGAAATCAAAAATTTCATACAGAAATTGTTTCAAGTCCTCTTCCACCATTGCTTCAAGAAATTCCTCCAAAGTGGAGCTACCATACCTACCTACCTACCTTTTCTATATTGTTCGGCTTGTTTACAGAGTCGTTCAACTTATTCTCGATCGAAGCATATGCTCAAATCATAATTTGTCGCATGCATTGCATCACGTGACAAATCAGAGAACTGACATTTCAACCTGCTCACTGCTGATTTGATGTCTTCCGCTGCCTGCCAGAATTGACTAGAATAATGCATCCACATGTTGGGGAACAGGAGTCTGTAAATGATAAAAAAAAAGTTTGGTAATGATGAGATTATTTGGGAGATTTGTCTTTCATTGAATTCTTTTCGGAACCTAATTTATTACTTACCGCAAACGGTACGATCTGCGTTAGTGGCTTGTGTTAATGTAATAATAATCATATAATTTTTAAACCCTTTTCACTAAACTATACTAAAAAAAACCTTTCGGAAATAATTAAGTAGAATAATTCCGAATTAATTTTGCTTGAAGTCAAACTTGATGAGAGCCCTTGTTTTTGCACCTACATATAATGGTTCACTCTGGCCCAAATATGCTAGAGTATAAAGACCATTTGAAGAATTCATCTCATCAATGTCGCTTCCACTCAGCAACTCTACAACTCTTTTGGGCAACTAACATTTCAGACTAGCCTCAGTTTCTTCATCGTACAATATTACAAAACCGCTTCTACCAAACCTGGTTCCACCAAGTGATATTTTCTTGACCACATAGCTTTCATTCACAAGTAGTGATGAGATAACAGTTTGCTTGATAATATCATTGTCTTCGTTAATTCGATTATTTATCGCTAACAAATCAATTTCAGGAGCTGCCATTATAAATTCTTCTTTGTTGAGTGAAAAGAGGTGTAAAAAGTATATAAATAATTTTTTTCTTACATATAACAGTTCACGTACACTTTTATTGCAAACACTTTATATTTCCAATTTGTTTGAGCGGGTATATTTTTAATGTGCGAGTTGGTGGTGCGTATCTTCTGTATTATTAGGAGAACTATGCTCTCGCAGACGATACAATGATGTATTTATAGGAACTGGGATATGTGACGTAACACATCACCCTACTTCTACCAGAACTCTCTCTCTCCCTCTCTCAACAACTCAAGGTCACTCGTTCCCAAGGTCACATATGCGAAGGTTACTCGTACAACCTTCCTTCAAGGTCACTTTGTCTCGCCCTCAAGGTCACTTCCGCGTTCAAGGGCGCGCTGTCAACACTTCACTATACGACGTTACTCCCGCCCAAGGTCAGACCCGTTCAAGGTCAATCCTGCCCAAGGTCACTCCGCTCAAGGTCGAAGGACGGTGACCTAGGGCGGAGAGCCAGAACCAGCCAATCATAACTACTCATGTCAGATGCTAGAATGCGAAGTTACAGTTTAAACATTGTTTGGAATTCGATTAAGTGGACTGTATATTTTAAACTTCGATAATCTTTTTGAAAGACAGTATTTCTGACGTTATATTCTATTATTGTTTATTTATCAACAACATTTTTTCTTCTTGTCTCTATGACATCCTAATATACAGTATCTTCTGAAGTAACTTTCTTAAACATACCGGCCGCCTTGAAAGCATCACTTTCAATCAGTACTCTTTCAATTAACAAATATAACAGATGATCAAAAATTAGAAATATCTCATGATCTCATTTTATCATAAAATGTCAATCGTCAAGTGGTAGAGCACACACTCGAGAAACGGATCGTTTCACGATGATATTCTTCACCCTCACACTTATCACTCTGGTTATGTTGTCAGCACCTGGATGCAGCTCAGTAAACCTGCCAAGCTGCCAATTAAGAACTGGCACATTTTCCTTCTTCAGCAGCACTAAAGTTCTCACCTTCAGGAATTGTGAAGAGTTTTGCTTCCACTTGGTCCTAGATTGTAATTATGAGACATATTCCCTCTGCCAACGAGCCCAAAAATGTTGATACATTGCCTGCAGCCTTTGGAGACGATTCAAACGGTTTTCTGGTAGATACCAGGGATCTTCCAATCAGAAAATGTCCGGGTGTTAATGCAGAAACGTCTTCGGGGCCAGAGGATAGGGGAGATAGGGGTCTCGAATTTAAAACAGCCTCGATTTGAGCTAATGCTGTTGAAAATTCTTCATATGTTAATGATGCATTACCCATCACTCCTTTTGAATGATATTTACTACTTTTAATACCTGCCTCCCGATTGCCACCGAAGGTTGCAGATCTGGCAGGTATGGAGTGCCATTTTATACTTTCATTCATTGAAAAATCACCTACTTCATCAGAATTTGATTTGACAAATTGATACATTTGTTTGATTTCATTGTTGGCTCCAACAAAATTCGACCCATTATCGGAAAATATATTATTTGGTTTACCTCGTCGTGCAATGAACCGTTTGAATGTAGCTATAAATGACTCTGATGACAAATCTGATACTGCTTTTAAATGCACGGCCTTCGTGGACATGCAAATAAATAGGCACATATATACTTTGATTGATTTTGCTCCACGACCTTTACGATCTTTCAATATGAAAGGACCTGCGTAATCAACTCCAACATTTGAAAAAGGTAACGAAGGATTTACTCGAAATTCGGGTAAATTTCCCATTAGATAATCTACTGATTTTGGGTTCGTTTCGAAACAAATTATGCATTTTCGCACAATGCCCTTTGCCAAATTGCGACCTGATATAGGCCAATAATTCTCTCTCACATTATGAAGGAGAGCTTGTGCCCCACAATGTAAAAGTTTCTCGTGTCTGTCTATTAATATCAATTCTGTTAATCTATGTCGTGGAGGTAGCAGAATCGGATGTCTTTTATCGAAATGTTCATTAGAATTTTTGATTCTGCCACCTACTCTAATTAAACCGTCACTATCAAGGAATGGATCCAAACATAATATCTTGCTTCTTTTATGTAAAGATTTTCTTTGACACAGATTCTGATGATCCACATGAAAATATTCTTGTTGCGCCAACTTCAATAATGTGTTCAATGCATTTTTCAATTCGAAATGACTCAATGGTCCATAGATTCTATTATTGCTGGTGGATGATTTCGTATTTTAAGTGAATCTAAATATGGATGCAACTATTCTTTGCAATTTTCTCAACGAAGAAAACTTGAAAAATATATCAAGATCGGATGTAGTCATTGCAACATTATAAGTTTATTTCATTTCAGGAATTTCAACATCTGAATCAAAGTCCATTTGATTGAATTTAATATGAACATCCTCCTGAAGCCATGATGGCCCATTCAACCATAAATCTGATTCCAACAATTTACTAGAAAAACAACCTCTAGATACGAAGTCAGCAGGGTTCTCTTCCGACCTAACATGATGCCAATCGCTAATTTTTGTTAATGATTGAATTTCAGCAACCCTGTTGGCTACAAAAGTTTTCCAAGTATTAGGAGCAACCTGTAGCCATCTCAATGTAATAGTTGAATCAGACCAATAATTATATTGACAGAAGTTCATTCCCATCACACTGACAATTAGGCAATCCAACGACCTGTCAAATAATTTCAAAATGGCGTTTGGTTGGCAAATGAACCAAAGACTTGTTTGTTTACTTGAGAACTTTGTGGGTTTTGGAAGCCTCTTACAGTATTATTTCATCGAGTTTCGGCTAGATTTATTGCGAATAATGAAAACTCAGTATGATTTCAAAGAAAAAATTGCCAGTAACGTGAACTGTGGTGGATTGTGGAAGCAGTGCAGATCGGGACCATTTGCTGTTTTGTCACATTATTACTGTAAATACTGTGAAAAACTCTGTGCATTACCCACAGATGAAGGATCTATCAAGAAAAATAAGGGAAATGTGGATAGCAGCCATCAAGAGAAAGAATCAACAACAGAAACATTCATAATGAACCAGAGGATATGTAGCAGACACTATCTTCATAACAGGTACTTGAGAAAAAGGATTTTAATATTATTCATATGTACCTACCTACTCTAGAACTGATGAATTTAGTATTTTATGCTATTGAAAACATATATCATCTTTCTTTTTGATGAAAGAAGCTATACTCATTACCTTTGATGGCCCTACATGGTTTGGAAACATCATGTTTTCAATACACACATAATTTATTCACCTTGTAGGAGAAC